ACACATCATTGTAAAATCAATACATTCATCGTTCCACTCAGAAACTAAAAGAAAATAAGTGATAAATAAATTCCCCTAAAAAAAACTGCCGTCTCGACTATTACTAAAAAATGTTTGATATCACAACAGAAACACTTCACCGAATTCCGAGTAAAAAAAAATAAAAATAGATCTTTAAGCACTGCAAAATATGTGATATCATGAATAAATGCTAAGTAAATTTAATTAAAGTGTACTTAGTTCGTTTCAATAATTTATTTACTCTGCGAGAAATGATATACTTTATATGACGCCGGGCGCGAAACAATGACGTGAACGAAATAAACAAAAGGCATTAGAAGTGCATTATTACAATTTAAAATAATATAAGACGTGTAGGTACTCACTCATATCTCATTTACTTGGCATTTGCTTATAACAAACATCACATATTTATAGTGCTCAAAGATCTGTTTTTTTAGCCATTTTTTACACGGAGCTCGAAGAAGTGTTTACGTCATGATTATAATACACAAAAAAACATAATTTCATGATACTAATACAGACCGAACCGGATCCCTTGCTCGTGGTTGCTCTGGCCCGTACTCGGCAGACAGATTGACAGAAGTGTAGGTAGGTAGAAACACACTCTGACACCTGTTGCACAATTACACAGTAAATAATAAATAATTATAATACTAAACACGCCGCACGTCGAAAGTGGCTTTCGATGCAATATGCGGTGTGTGCGGCGAGCGGGACGAAAGCCGAGCAAGTACTTTGGTAAACGATAAAAATACTGTCCGATAACAACGTACCACGTACACAATATTAAAAACCGGACGGTATGAAACATATGGTAATCAGCAAAGACTACGAAATACAGAAACAACTTGCGCGATTTTGCATTTTTATTGTTGTCAATATCTACTCGACACCGGACGACGCATTAGTGGGAGTGGACTCTGACAGGTGGAGTAGACGGACTGAGCGAGAATTATGTGTGACGTTAAGTACGCTAATACTCTCAATATAGCGGTATCCGTGAAATACAAATATAAAATAAGTGGATGTCCTTCTGCTGTACAGTAGGTTACGAGTGGGTCACCGTAATGGATGGTGTTAAATTTTAATCAAATGATATGATATCATCGTATGAGAAAAACGATTCTGAGCGAAGACGGTCAGTCAGCCTGTGATATTACCAGGCGCGTACTGGCCCACCGGGATACTGGGAAAATCCCGGTAGGCCCTCCTAAAAATTATAAGACCTGGCCCCCCCCCCCCCAAAATAGGTACCTGTAGTTTCTGTTAAATTCAGTAATTGTATTATTTTTAACAATAAATAATAATTTTTTTTTAAATTATTTTAATTGAATAATTGAAAAGAGAAAATTAAATAAAGGACAAATAAGAAATTTTGTTGGTTAGTTTTAGTTACTGGTAATGTAACTTTTGGTGTACTACTGTACAAGGTTTAATCATATTATACAATTCGTATATTTGTTGAAAAACGAATAATTTTTATTTAGAATTCTAGTGAATACTATAGACAAGAAAAAGCGGTATGTGGATACACGGTTAGGTTAGGCTCCGAATGTTTCTGTTTATAATAAAGTTATTTATAAATTGCATGGATTATTCGTTATCATTGATAATATTATTAACCCATTATTATACATATTTTATTTCATTAATTTGAATTTAGTTATTTTCTATAATTTTAATAGTTTGTACCGATTGCCATTTAGCCCAAACAGGTAAGTTTATGATTTTTTTTTAATTTCTAGAATAATAAATGTCTTTAGTAGGTAATACAAACTATTAAAATAATAATTTGAATAAATTGAAAATAGTTTATAATTTAAAAATGATTTTAGATTTGGTGTGTTCAACCTGATTAGTGTTATATACTTATACATAATACATAAATATAATATTAAGACAAGCATTTTAAATTAGTACACAGAAAAGTCAATGTAAAAGTTACCTATCTACTATTGAAACAATGAGATATGAGTGGAAAAAGTATATTTATTTATTTAAAAGTAATTTATTTTAAATTTTTCAATAATTATTATTACGTACCTACTCCTATTTTTGTGTTTCATAGGTAGGTTCGTTTAAATTAGTAGGTAACATAATATTATTATGATTTTTTTTTATGTTTAATATATAATAATTTTAATAAAAACCATTACTATTAGTTTATTATTATCTATTTATTTAGTATTGATCATAATAATATAAATAGACGCTCGGCTAGACTGTATGCACAATATTTGGCGTGTATGGGGTTGTTACTTGTTATTTTTTAAGCCAGAATTGAGTGCTGATATTAACCTCGGATCAAGTAATTGACTTATTGTATGAAAAAAGTACAAAAAAGTTAACAAGGTTTAGTTTTTAAGTTAACAAGGTTTAACAAAGTTTAGTTTTTAAACATTTTATTCAACTATTTAGGTTCATGTTAATTGTATAGTTTTTTCTTAGTGAAAGAAATGGGTGTTGACCAGTTGCCCCCCACGGCTGTTATCTGGATTTTAAAAATATACCAGTTACCCTCAACCAAATGTACCAGTTGCCCGAACTGAATGTACCGATTGCTCTTACATGTTTAACGGTAGCGTAAATAGAAATAATTTTTGGGGTGGGCTTTAGTAGACAGAAACTAGCAAGTGATCTATTACTTAGAAGCTATTGTCTACTATATATTTAACAGTTTCTATAAGTATATTCGTATTTGTTATTTTTCAACAGGCTATAAAATATTATAACTTATAATAGTACCTAATAAAATATATTGTTGTTCTATTTAAAAAGACTGTAATTTTTGGAAGGGGTGCTGCAGCCCACTGTGACCACCCCTTATATACGCCACTGCATGTTAATATATACTATATACACTATTAAAATATATGTATAGCCCGTAAAATAGGGGAGGTGAATATACAAATAATAAATAAAATTATTTAAAATAGTATAAAATGATATTAAAAAATTCATATGCTTGGAATATATACCTAATATTGTATTTTGTAATAAATAATAATTACTAACAAAATAATATGAATACAAATAATACAATAGTCAAAAAAATAATAAATATTATAATTATGTGATATTCAATGTGATAATTTGTCAAAAAAAAGAAAAAATTTGATCTAATATTATGAACTATGTTTTGTTATAATAATTACTATTTATAATTACTATTTGTATATTTACCTCCCCTATTTTATGGGCTATATATTTTAATCTAATACATATTTACATATGAGGGCAAGTGGTACATTTTGCTCTAGGTAGTTTGGGAGGAATTGGTATAAAAAAAAAGATACTTTTAGAGGCAACTGGTGCATGTCCTAAGAAATGGCTAGAAAACCTGGCTTTTGTTATAGGTATACACGGGACTCATTGCTATTAGTAAGTGGGCCCTAATTATATTCAGTTTCCCGGTAATGAAAATGGACCCAGTACGCGCCTGGATATTACTATGAGTATATTTGATGATATTATTGTGAATAAAGTAATTTTTATATAACCTATTTGAGTGGAAACTTGTTTTAAATTTTCAATCCTTAGATATATAATTTGAACATTTTATACATTTTTAACTAAAAATAATAATTTAATTTTGTCAAAATTCGAACTTTAAATGCTTATAAAAAAAATGTGCCTATATAAATATTTTTAATTTTTTTCAACTGCAATTGTAGCAATATTATATCAAGAGTCTCTCTATATTATATTATATTAGAGTCTATTATTATATTTTTGTGCATTATTACCCAACAAATAAATTTTGTTGACAATTATAGATGCTATTGTAAATCGACTCGACCCCAGATGACGCATTAGTGAGAGTGGACTCAGACAAGTGTAGTAGACGGACTGAATGAGAACTATGTGTGACGTATAGGTGCGCTATTTTTACTATTAACAACGACTTGTTATGCTTTATTTTAATACTTATATTAGTTTTTTAGGATATACCAGTTAATAATATTTATAACTAACTTCTTAAGACTTAATACGATTTGAAAAATTGTAATATCAAAATATACCTAAGTACCTATCGGAAATATTAAATATACAATTCTATTGCATTTTCGAGCTTTTTGACCCAACGAATAAAATATTGTAGATAGGATTTAAAGAAAAGAAAACTTGAGTTCAAAACAAGTCAAAAAATGTCTAACTAAGGTTATTTGTTTTAGAGTTACACCAAAAACCAAAATTGATTTGGTCAAAAACAGATTTTGCGTAAAAATGACCGTTTTTCCTTAATTTTTGTTTTGTTTTTCGCTGCGCGTTTCAAAACTATTGAGAATTTAAAATGTTGACCTCCAGAATGCATCAATTAGATTCATTTTCCCATCGAATAAGATAGGTACTGTTGAAGAAAATCGAAGCAGTGTTACTGCCCAAAACGGTGATGATAGACACAAAAATAAAAATTTTCTAAAAAACACACACATCAATGTCAATATTTAATTCTCTTCGCTCAGAATCTAAAATTTGATATTATATTTATGTTACGTAATAATAAAAACGTGACATTCCTGTTTTATTATTGATAAAAAAATGTTATGCTTTGTTTTAAATATAATTAGTATTTTTTAGGATATATCAGTTATTAATATTAATAATTAACTTCTTAAGACTTAATATGATTTGAAATAATTTAATATAAAAATACACCTATCAGAAATATTAAAATAAACAATAGGTATTATAACATTTATTAAAAAGATTAAACAAGATTTTTATAAAACATTAAATATATTAATGTTTTGGCTGATATATATATATATATATATTATACCAATATTAGGTATATGTTGTTGTCAAGAATACTAAATTTATTTATCTACATATTATATTAATTGTTTACTCATAGTCGACATATTTTTGAATAAATATTTTGACAATTGATTTTGTGCTTATAGTACTCTAATAGTATATATTTTTGACTTTGATCAACATATTTCCACCAAAGAATGCAGGGAGAAAACAATATGCTTTTGGAACCGGAGACTTTCAATGGCGACGTATCTACCTACAGGAGAGCCGATGTCGTCAGGGACCGGCTGAGTGCACCGACACCCGCGCTATCTCCTCGAATGCTCAACATGAGTGAGCTGTTGACGCAAATATTGTGCGATAGGCCAACAATTGGCCAATCAAATTCGGGAACGACTGGAACAGAGGACGTACCTAGGTCCCGGCAATCGTGTATCGAAACCAGCACAGCCGATCTACAACGGCCATCAACGGACACGCACGTTTTCAAGCCGAAAGTAGAACTGCCCGAATCGTCGTTGATTCGCGGACGTCCGCTGGAACAGCGGCTTCTAAAGTCGTCGTCCTGTGTGGAAACGGAGACTTTCGATGGCGACGTATCTCAAGACGGGACAGCCGATGCCATCGGGGACGGGCTGAGTGCACCGACATCCGTGGTCGAGGTGATGTCAGCAGATGTTCCTCAACTTGTTTGCCGCAGGTCACTGATATCGAGAGTTGGAAGACGACTGTTAAAAGTCAGCAGGAGATTGTGTTGCTGGTGTGGGTAAATATGAGCGAGCTGTGTATACCCCGTGAGTAGTATAAATATGTAGGTTCAGCTGCACCTCCCCATTAAATTTAACATGTAAAAACATAGACACTTGCCTTTACTTAAATAAACCTATTACCATTTAGTAATCATTTCTATCACTAAAGATCTCTGAAAATTTTTTCCTAGCCCAATCGGTAGGATTCAATAGTAGTATAAATTCTACCTACATATTATATTTTGGAAGAAGATTGTGTTATAATTTATAGTTAAAATATATCATTATATTATTATTATTAACAACCACACGCTAGGTAATTAAAGTACTCTGCAGGATCCACATTATATAAATTTATTTTTTTTAGGATGAAAATAACACTAGAATACCAAATGTAAAATAGCACATTACGAGATCTATAGTGTATACCTACACATTTTGTTGGTCAAGGTTGTGTTAGTTTAAACATAATTATCATATTCAATTTCTCACTCACACAAAATAGTTAAGTCGATGGCATAACTGGATAAAAACTGAAGGGGAAAATAATTTATTTTATTTATCAAAATCCAAACTCTGACCCATACATACACAAATATTTTAAATATACTTCAATATAGTTTATGTATAACAAACCGTAGGTACCCTTATTGATTAATTATAATAAGTACCAAGGCCGTGGCCTGCAAACATTTTTTTTGGGGGGGGGGGGGGGGGGGTAATTTGATTATAATATATATCGATGGCTAAGAGGCCAAAAGTTGTATGTCCAATTTTTCTCAAAATTGTTTTTTTAGTTCATAGGGTTTATTCGTCTTTTTGATTCGGTAAAACACTATAAGTCAATATCATGATTAAAACATTTATACTTTAATTTTTGTGTTTTTAGTGCAAGATATGTTTTTTTAGTGCACACATATAACAAGTCCTAATTTAATGAGACATACGATAAATATTTTAACATGATCTAAATATTAAGCGGACAAATATAACAAGCCCGGACTTGTTACTTTTGTCAAAAATAATTTATTAAATTTTGGACGTGTAATGTTTTAGATAATATTGAATTTGTTTATCTATTTATAAAAAAATAATATGTCCGGACGTATTATTTTAAATAATAAAAATTTTTAATTTTAAATTACACTAAATAATATGATGTCTTCACTTAGCATAAAATATCATTAAACACTGGTTTTATTTGACTAAAAATTTGATGAAAAATGCTACTTTATTATTTTTCACATTCAATAAAAAATTCAAATATATTTTATATTTTTTACTTTTTTACTGCAATTTATAAACAAATTTAATTTTTTATATTAAAAAAATAAGTCTTACGTACATTTTAACTATTTATGTAATAAATTAATTAGAGTTTATATTAAATTAACAACTTTTAATATGTCCATCAAAACCTTATATATGTCCACGGTAAAAATAATAATAATAATTGCCATTCATAACAAGTCCCATTTCAATTTAAAAGAAACATTATAATTACGTTTGAAAAAATTTTAAAACCTAAAAGTAATAATTTATGTAATCTACAGAATATTTTACAAATAAATCAGTTGCAACACCGAAAAACAAAAATCTACAAAGCAAATTATTTGGTGTAGAATAATTTAAAATCTTAAAACTGCTCTCCCGAAAAATTTAGTGTTTGGGACATACAACTTTTGGCCTCTTAACCATCGATATTTGACTAACAAGTTTAATACGTATATAGGCTTATAAAAATGTGTTGTTGGCGGTTGATAAGTAATAAAAGTTAAAAATAATTAGAGTTAATTATTAGTTAATTAGTTAATAGAGTTAAATAATAAAATGTTAGGAATATCTGGGGTTGGGGGAAAAATAATACTATTGTCCTCCAAAAAAGTTTCATGGAAGGCAAGTCTCCTCTTGTCCTCCAAAAATAGTCATGTTTTTTTTTGTGAATTGATTCATTTTTTAAATCATTGTACGACGAACGCCAAATATAAATACAAACATGGCAAAATCCGCTATAGTTTAAATTATCGATAACTGATTAACCACTTTTCGTCTCTACCGCCTATGAAAATTAAAAGCATAATTATTATTTTTATAGGCAGTTATTACCCGATTGTACGAGATCCATGTAGGAAATAGCGACGTTGCGATAACTGGATCTCGGATAATCAGTATTTTTCTATTGAAGCGTGTGCACAATTAAATATTTTATATATACACACACTCGACAGTGGCGCATTCTGCGAGGAATCCACCAGCGTTAGCTCACACACACAATTGCTATTTTCTATGCTTTATGAGATCCGACCAATTTTCAGTGGAGATAGTAATATATCACATCGGGGTCCTATATATTTTGATACAAACGTTATGAGATCCGGCATTTCGGATCTCGATACGAAAAAGGATCTCACGACGCTGCTCATTTTCCACATAGTGGATCTCGTTGCGTACCCTTCGTAAACCCACACACACACACACACACATACACTAACAGCCACCCAGTCCTTTATTCATTCAATTACATATGAACTCTCATACACATACATATATACATACATACATACATGCATACATACATACATACATACAAATAGTATACAGTTTTCTTATTATATAATTACATACGAAAAATCGAATCGCTAAAGCATACGTTACACACCGAAATGTATCTCAAACACACACATACACAAACTTGTAAAAAATTATATTTTTCAAAATATACACGTTAAAGTATATTACATTCATTATAACAAACACCTAAACATACTATAAAACTTACATATTATTGTATTATATAATATAATCATGTTTTATTCCCATATATAATGAATGTAATATTACTTTTTGAAATGTTGTGTTACACGCTGGAACATGTAGAAATGCCCGCTTAAACTGATGAAACTTCCCTGTAAAAAGGTGCTCAGAATATTATACAAATATGTGTATGTATATAATATTATGTGAGTATCTAAATATTATGTATGAACTATAACCTATGGTTATATGAGTGTATGTGCATGTATGTGCTAGAGAAAAGGATGCACGAAACTCATCGACATCTGTAAACGGTGTGTGTGTGGCCTACAATAATAATCGTTCTATGTTATTTATAAATTTTATTGTCAACAATATTATCAGAATTATCAGTTTTTCGGGTTTTCCGTTTTTGATAACAGATTTTTTTTTCGTGGTATAAATAATTAAATAATGTAAAATACTATAATTTATTTTAGTTTTACGTTTTTGTTTTCGTTTTTTGTTTTGTTTCGTTTTCGTTTTATAAATTGTTTTCATTTTTTGTTTTGTTTCGTTTTCGTTTTATTAATTGTTTTCGTTTTTTGTTTTTTTTTTCATTTTCGTTTTATTAATTGCTTTCGTTTTTCATTTTTTTCAAAAACGTTTTCCATCCCTGGAATAATAAATCTCGTAAAGAATGTCGAAAAATAAATCAATTTATATAATGTGGATCTCGCACAGAAGCTTAACTACCTAGTGTGTGTGTGAGGTTGTTAATTTGATATTTTTAAAGATTTCATAATCTCAACGAACAAATTATTATGATATAAGCATTATAATAAAATATTTAAATATATACGCACATTTTACTACCTATGCCCCTAAAAAGTTTCATTTCGAGCCTGGGCTTGACCGGCTCGCCCCGTCCGCACGCCTATTTACCTAGTGTGTGTGATGTTGTCAATATGATATATATATACGGATCTCGTAACGAAATTCAAAAAACAAACCAATATATATAATATGGATCTCGCACAGACGTTTAACTACCTAGCTAGTGTGTGTGTGAGATTGTTAATTTGTTTTTTTTAAAACGGATCTCGTAACGAATTGGAATCAATAGAATAGATATAATGTGGATCTCGCAGAGTACTTTAATTACCTAGCGTGTGGTTGTTAATGATAATATAATGATATATTTTAACTATAAATTATAACACAATCTTCTTCCAAAATATAATATGTAGGTAGAATTTATACTACTATTGAATCCTACCGATTGGACTAGCAAAATATTTTCAGAGATCTTTAGTGATAGAAATGATTACTAAATGATTATAGGTTTATTTAAGTAAAGGCATTTTTTAAGAAAATGTAGAAAATGTAGAAAATGTATCACACGCTCCGAGATCCATAATTTGTGTTTATAAAACATTTCGGACCTCGTGAAGTTTTCGTTGAATTTTGGTTTAGTATTGTATAAATAATTTTTACTATTATATTGATCTCATAATGCACGATAGTATAGATAAAGTGTACATTGGAAAATTGCCTGTTATACTGTAGGCGTGGGACGAGTCTATATGTGTAGCGGGTTGCCTATATTGAGTAATTAATACAAGTTTGGAAGGTGCTTGTACTTCGAATTGCCTATACAGAAGGGTCTATGTTTTTACATGTAAAATTTAAGGGGAGGTGCTGCTGAACCTACATATTTATACTACTCACGGGGTATACACGTCCTCTGTTCCAGTCGTTCCCGATTGTCCAATTGTTGGCGCAGTATTATCGCTCAATATTCGCGTGTACAGCTCACTCATGTTGAGCATTCGCGGAAATGGCGCGGGTCTTTCCGAATTTGATTGGCCAATTGTTGGCGCAGTCCTATAGCTCACGAAGCTCCCGGGTTTGACGTCATCCGACAGGCCTTGCGGCCAGTCTTCCGACTACAACTACGGACCTTATATTAGCACTAAGTGCTAGTCAAGGGCCCTAGAGGCATACGACCGCCAACCGACGGACCCTCCCCACACTGTTGCATGGCCAGAGGATCGCCGGAGACTGACGACCGCACGTCGTCTAAGGACCACGAGCACCGGGCGCGCACGGAGGGGTACCCCGGAGCGCCCGTACCATCCGGCTAGGGCATACAGGTGCCTTTCGCCACCCTGGTGAGGCCGCAATCTATCCACTTTGCTTTCCGTTTTTGGTCACGGACAACCTTCGCTGCATATAGCTCCAACGATAAGCTGGGTGAGCGCTAAGGAGGGCTGTGCTTTCCCGGC